TCATTCTTTTAGGATCCGCACTCTATCGACCTCATGTCTCGTGAGCGTTGATGCTCCACGTTAAGGAATCTCAATACAAAATTACCGGTCTTTGGTTAGCAGCAATGATGACAAGGTAGAATACGAGGAGTGAAAGGAATACTAGGAAAGAATTGAAATGAAAGTTTTGTGCGTTCAGAAAATCTTTGCTAAATCAAGGGATATTTGACCACTCTGGCTGCCATGTGGTTTATAGTTATGCTAATGTATTATCTATAGAATGAATACAAAAAACTCGAGAAGAAGGAGCGCAAGCACAATAAAAATGAATGACATAGTTCTGACGCGCATGCGCGTCAGAATGTCCGATGCGGTGCAAAATTTCTGACGCGCATGCGCGTCAGCCTGTCGTCAACGTGTTAAGCACGACAATTTCCTTTCAATGTTGCCCGGATTCTCTTGATCCATTCATTACTCGCGCAGTCTACATTAAGAGGCAGTGAATGCAGTGTAGTAGGCAGCTTCAGCGAAGCATATGCGCCAGTGGAAGCCACTCGGTAAAGGAGACGAGCTGTGACTTTTCGTAGTGAGACGCTCTACTCGCAAAGCAATTAGTCTCCAAGCTTGAAAGCCGCACGACTCCAAACCTCTGCACCCCTTCCAGGTGTGGCTATTGGCATTTCCGGTATCGTCATCATTATCTCTCAACTATAATTTCGATAGCGCATTTGGGATTTGAATTTGAACAGCCTTACCTTGTGATCATGTCGTTACTCAAATGGAAAGTTTCCTAGCCGTAAACTCGTCTAAAATCATCGGACAGGGTGATTTTTGACGGACTTTTCCAATCCCTCCTCATCGTTGCACCATGTCGCAACTGTGGTAAGCGGCCCCACATGATATGAACCATCTCCGCCCTCTGCACACCTCCGCCTACGTGTCGGCGTGTTCGTGTAGAGAAAGATGGTGAATTCTTGGCTCACGCGATCCCTTTGAGATGCGCCACGTAATCGAATTCTTGAGCGCATGTAAAGCTAACATATTATAATCTTCCGACCTACAGAGGAAGTTATAGAAATTCGTCTAGTCTCCGTCTAAGGGCACGTGCGAAACGGAGGCTAGACTACAACTTTGATTCCCAAACCCTAACCCAAAATTAAAGTAGTTATTACTATTAAATATATTATAAGCAAAGTTACAAATGTTAAAAGAAGTAAATATTTCAAAGAAAATGAAGCAAAACAAGAAGTAAGGTGTACTACACCTCTTTCTCCCTGAAACTACCCATGTTTTCAGAGTTTTCCTTGAATTCACAGAAAATTTCTTCAAGCATGATTTTTCACAAAATTGGCGAGCTAACAAGAGGTTCGATGCTATTTTATTCAGTGCCATATTTGCTGGCGGGTGTCCTGCTATTTATCAATTATCTGCTGATATGGGGTGATCTATCACCCACGTCTGCACTTTGTATCGCTGCAAATGGAGCTTCTCATCCAATCATTTACGGTATCATGCTAGGGATACGGTTGATCGTGAACATTGGCAGTGCTATAGTTTACTTGGCTATTGTCATCTACCTGAGTAAGGTTAGTCAAGACAACGAGGGTTGAGGGAAAGGGAAGTAATCGATGAAGATTTTAGAGTCATGGTCGATCGCTTCAGAGCCTTTCGGCGTATCAAAAGAAAAGCCATCGAAATGCTAAAATAACCCTTGGTAAGTGCTGCTTATTTGATTCGGACCAAAAATTGTACACATCAGATCCTCTTGGGAAACACTTATAGGCATGGTTACAACGAACTCGATGTTGCTACTTTTTATCCCTGATATCCTCCTCCTGGTCAATCCGTTCAACATCAACCAAAACTATTCTACTATTCTCTATTCTATGACGCTCAGCAAGGTGAGTAGTTCATGCCAAGACTCCTTGGCGCTTTATAAATATCAACATTACTACGTAGCAGAATTCCTCCACAGCAGCATATGAGCATAGAGATTTCACGGTAAGAGAGTGCGACGAAATGCCCATAGGCTTGCAGTGGCGGTGCTAATTTAGCTTGTGGAGGGGGAGGGTGGGGAGCAGTGGTCCC